ACATATTCATAAGTTGGGCTGGGGCTGGCAGTGGAAGAATAAGCTCGTTCCCCATTTCTTGGTGTGCTTGTTTGGACAGGATATGAGAAACTCATCACACTGTGCTGTGAATTTTGTCCATCACTAGACGGGGAGGGGGAGTTAGTGGAAGAGGAACTGACAGACGATACGTCGGTTGAGTGGGTGGGGAGGGAGGTGTGCTGAGATGAAGGGTGGGAGATGGAGGTTTCTTGGAATGAGGATGTAGACGGGGTAGGCTCTTTCTGAGTCGGGGGAGTGTGTTCTTGAAGGGGCGAGGAGGGGTGTTGTCCTTGTTGAGGGGAGGTTGCGTGCACTGATGGAGGCGCTTGATCGTCCTTTGGCGCCATAATGGCCTTCCTTGATTCTTGAAGTTTGAAGTACTTGTGTGCTTGTTCTTGCGACTCAATCATTCGATGGACCTGAGCCTTGAGCATCTGAAACTCATGCTGCGTGTGAATAAACAAAACAGGAAAAAAAAATCTCAAGAGGTTTAGTTTGAACCTAACTGAAGTATGATATCAGCTCCAATCAAAATGTTTTTTTTCTTAAACTGTACCCCTGTCGGCGGCAAAAAGTATGCTTCGAATAGTGGTTCTTTAATACTCCTCTCTTCCATGAGCCTGCTTCTCAAGGCCGGCTCGCCTTTGCATGATATGAGTCGGTCCATGGCGCCGAAAACATGGCGCTTCAGTTGGGGTTTTGAGGAGAAGTCCTTTCCACAGAAGCATTTAGTTTTGACAGTAAAGAACTTGAACATGACATTAATGTCACCACCAACTGTTCCTTCAAGAATATCACAAACAACAGGGACTTCAGACATTGTGAGGGGGCGCGACAGTAAATGGGGATAGGGAAGGATTGGTGTTCAAAATTGTGGTTAGAGCTTTGGAGGGGAGAAAAAGATTTCAATAGGAACCACCGCTCGTTGACTTTACTTAATCATGCAATTTTATTGTACACGGTGACATAGTCTGCCTAAGGTAGGCTAACATATGGCGGGGTAGAGCTGCCGACGAGTTGAACGCATGTCTTAATTTTGTTGTGCGGGATTGAACGAACCAAGCACCAACTCTTCATCAAGAATTATTGGGCCGAATACCCAAGACCTGACAAGTATCAAGAATGCAATAAATTGAACGCGCATTATAAAGTACGAATTTTGAGCATATGTGGAGAACAGCGACTTGATCCCACACGGTCTCAACTCCGTTGCTTTGATCTTTCTAGATCGTGACGTCTATTGAATCAATCTTTCTAATTCGCCATCATAGATCCATTCTCTCTTTATTGTCGCTCTTTTATTTTGTGATCACTCTAATTCACCCTTCACCCACCTTCAGCTCCTCCTTCTTTATCCTTTCGAACGATTCCCAGCTCAGCAAACAATCAACATGAAGCCTCTTGCACGATCCATTAAAGAGACTGCCGTAGAACAGCTTCGACATGGAAATTCAACCAGAGCAGTTGCATGCAACCTTCGGATCTCTGTCTCATCAGCGGTCAGGATCAGGAACGAGGAAAAGGAAAACATCCCTGAGCCCCATCCTGGCTGACCTAGGAAGATCTCAACGGAGACGAGGACGAATCTCGTGCGCCATTTCATTTAAGGCCACTTAACATCGCGAAAGGATGGACAACGATTTATTGAATCAACCGAGGGAGAGCATGTCTACCTTACCACTATACAGAAGAATCTACTCCAGGAAGGAATCAGGGTCTACTCAGCACCAGACAAGCCGAATCTCACACGGGAACAGATCACAAAAAGGCTCAGATTCGCAGAAGAACACCATCAATGGAAGGTCAAGGACTGGAAGAACGTGATGTTCTCTGATAGTGCATCTTCAGCCGCATTGGGTCCTTCGACAAGAAGTACTACTACCACAGACACCAACAACAACAACACCTGCCTCACCAAGTTCGACCGAAACAGTCAAAATGTAGGGGGAAAATGAAGACGCGAAAGAAGGTGGTTGTTGACCCGTTTATTGAGGACACTAATAAATAGAGAATTCTTAGTCAAATAAAAACTAACCTATATTTCGTCAAAACAACAAGGTGGTGGAGGGAAAGTAATGGTCTGGGGTTGCATTAGATATTCTGGCGTTGGAGACCTTTGCTGGATCGAGGGTAATATGGATTCGGATGCCTATCTCGACGTTCTCCAAAGGCGTGTTCGTCAGTTCCGCGATTGGCTAGCCAGAGGCGGCTGAGGACCAGGACAGGCTGTGGGAACGTTAGAGGCGATCTGGAAGGAGATTCCTCCGGAGCACCTTCACAAACTGTACTAAAGCATGCCCGACCGCCGGAAGATGGTGATTTAGAACAAAAGACACGACACCAAGTACTGATGACCGCGGTAGATGAAGGGCATGCAACAGATTCAGTCATTTAGAAAAACTGATTCAATGAACTTGTTTATTTTAAAGCGATGTCGATGACGATCCTACAAAGTAACCCTGGTTGGGATTTGACGTGAACAATGAAGAGGAGAGATTATAACAATAGAGCGAGTCTTGGGAGTAGAGGGTTAGGATGAGAATGAGAAAAGTTGATGAATGTCAAAGACTGCAATTCATTGAACCAGTTTTTCTAAGCACTAAAACACCCCCTGTCAGTGCAAGACTAACAGGGTGTGTCTGACAGGGGATTCTCAAAAAATTGTCAGCCATTCCCTTTCAGAGTAGAAATGCTTTTGAAAATTGTCCTTGTTTGGGGGTTTGTTTTCGTTGCTGCTCAACGTTTGTTGCTTGCACGCCTTGCTTGATATCTCGCTGGAGAATGGTCACTGCAGCCTTTGCTTAAGTAGCCTTTCTTCCAACTTATCCTCCTACCTTCTTTGTCCTTTTCTTTTTTTTTGTCTCCTTCTCTCCCTGTCTCCCTCTCTCCCTGTCTCCCCCCCCCCCTCTCTCTACCTTCACTTTCTATTTTTGTCTCCCTCTCTGTTAGTCTCCCTCTTGCCGCATCTCAGTGTCTGTTCACTCACTCCTCTATTAAAGGTAGTAGTGTTATATATTCTCACAGGGCTCAATAAAGAACCCCAGCTTCTTTCTCACCATTTTCCTCTCCCCAGCTGTTCATTTTACATTTTTTTTGGCGAAGAATCGAGGGATCATTCCCACACAACTTTGAACAAAAAAACACACACACTTTAACACTCACAAAAACGCACTCACTTATTCATTCACACACGCAAGCGCTTACCCATCCACTCACTCACACTCATCGACTTATTCATTCACACTCATCGACTCACCATCCATTCATTCATTCATTCATTTATACAACAAAGACACCAAGAAAAAAAGAAAAATAAAAAAGAAAGTCATTTTGTTGCGATCCATTTTCTTTGTCCACGAACTGGTGCCTCGTTCTCACAGGGGAGGAGAGCTGTTGCATCTCAGTGTCTGTTCACTCACTCCTCATTCTCTATTAAAGGTAGCAGTGTTATATATTCTCATAGGGCTCAATAAGACCCCCAGCTTCTTTCTCGCCATTTTCCTCTCCCCAGCTGTTCATATTACATCTCTCTCTCTCTCTGTCTCCCTCCCTCCCTCTCTCTTCCCTCTCTTTCTCTTTTTGTCTCCCTCTCTCTTTATATCTCCATCTCTCTTTTCTGTCTCTGTGTGTCTGTCTGTTACTCCCTTCTTAGCTGCAGGAAAGCGAGGCCAACGAGCGAAGACATTTTCTTTGTTACCTTTCCATTTTCTCGTGTTCGCCTTGCCATTTTTGTTTCATGTTCTTGGTAAACTTGTCCTTCTCTTCCCTCTCCATCATCTCAGCTCGTATGCACACACTCACGCACAACACACAACACATACACACACAGACAAGCACTCGCCCATACTCTCTAACTATCTCCTCTCACCCTTGCCTCTTCCTTCTTATCTTCCCCTCTTCTTCCCCTCCTTTCTGATCAGCACTTGATTCTCACACCCATCCCTGAAAACCGAAAGAACGCTGCAACAAAACATATAGCCAATGGAAATAAAAAGCGTAAATTTTGTATTTGAGGCCATAAACTTGGCATTCGCTCTCCTCCTAAAGATTAAGCATTACTGCCCTTCCCTTCCCTTTCTCTGCCACGTCCTTTCCCCCCTCCACGTCCTCTCCCTCTACCACGCCCCCGCTCTTCAACGCGCTTCGATCCTCGGCCAATGTTCCAATGATGCCCCCTCCTCTTCTTCGGGTTTTGGTTCTGATCCTGTACGGTGCCATCCACCTTTCGCTTTGCTTCCCACCACTGATTAAATTCCTGAAAGGCCTTCATCTTCTCGGGATACTCCTCAAACGTCGCCATGATGGTCTTGAAGTCGTTGGTATAGCCGAGCTGCGCCTCCTCGCTAACGTCCAGGTCGCTTATCGTATTTGCAAATTTCCTCACGGCACTTGAGGTCCTCGAATGCACGGCCTTGATCGCCTTGCTCCTCTTTGATACGGCGGACGGTGCCTTAGGGAATAGCTCCTTCAACCGCGCGGCAAAGTCTGACTGAGACAACACAGGCCTACCCCTCTCCTTCCTACCCTTACCCTTACCGCGCCTATCCTTGTTAGCGGCTGTGCTCTCAGCCTCATAGGTATTGGCCCTGACATGCTGGAGCTCGTCGAGTGTTGAAATAAGTCGAGGGTTATCCTGCATGCCCTCGGTGTACCATCGCTTTTCAACCATTCCTGGGAAAAAAAGAACATCACCATCGTGCCTCATTACATAGTAAAAATGGCGGCAGACCCAGCCCTTATTCTGCATTGAAGCGCATGAACAAAAGTGGGTACCATCCATCATAAGCACCATATACTCCGGCAACGTCGTCGATTCTGTACTTGAAACCGTGATCAAGTATACTTTGTCAACCTCACACTCAACGTTCTCGACAATAGTGCAGATAGATCTCCTGAGAAGGTTCTCTCTGCTCAAATCATCCTAATCGAATGAAAAAAAGGAGTAGAAAAAAAAGGAGTAAGAAAACAATGAGCAACCACTAACGGGATTTTATACTTTGATAGCAATCATCATACAGACTTACTTTGGAGATGTCTTGAGAAATGCTTTGAGGGTCGATAACTCTATGCTGGAAACCATAGGACTGAGCAAGCTCGATTCTCATTTGGCTCATAGCATAGTGATCCAGGAACCGACTGGAAGCAGAGAGCACCATCTTGAAATCACAAGCAATAACCCCGTCGAGGTCTTTGCTGTGATTGGTCACTCTACCGACGATGGCAAAGGCGAGCTCCCTGTTGAGCTTTGTAGAGATGAATTCCAGGAGTCGCTGCAAAGGTGTCTGACTGTTGACACCGAGCATCTTGATCAGCCTGTGGGTCATCTCAACTCGCTGCGAAGACCGCATCCCGGCGGTAAAGATGGTCTTGACCCAAGGGCCAGCCCAGTGCTCTCGACGGCGCCGCATTCTTCTCAGGTACTTGCCCCAATCTCCCCACTCGTACTCAACAAACATATGATCGTCTCTATCCACAAGCTGGTCGTCCTGGCTCGGCGAGTCCTTCTTTTCCTCGCCTTTGACCTTCTCTGCCTTCTTGCCCTTGACCATGCTTTTGATCTCAGGCTCGCGACGCTCCCCTCTGCCTTCCCCACCAAATCTTTGACAAAGACCCATCCATATCATCCTGAAGGCATCCTCTGTAATAGCTTCTCGGGCCTCATTGAAAACATCCATGAACGCCTCCTGATCCACGCATTTTGGGAATACTCTCTTGATGTGTCGACGTATGTTCCTGAGCATGTGCCAAATACATGATACAATATTGGTCCTGCCCGTCAACACCTGATCGGTTGCCGCCTCCATCGCCGCCTCCTCGTCCATAATGATTGTTGTAGGGTAAACGTACCCAGTCTCGGTCTTGGTGGCCTCCAGCAGCTGCTGCAATCCCCAGGCATAATACTCCTGGCTCTCTTGGCGGCTCAACGCACAGGCAATCAACCGTGTACGATTTGTGGAGTCAACGACGACAAAGCAAGTCAAGCTCATGCCCAATCGATTAGTTTTGGCGGTGTTGTCGTGTACAACAACACAGTGGTAACGCTTGTACAAAGCAACCTGCTCTGGAGACATCCAGAACAGGCGATCCAGACAGCATTCCTCGTCCACCTCGGAGGAAAAAACCACCGCTCCTTCTGCATCTTGGTACACAGGTAGGCCTGCAGTAATGTTGCTTCCGCGTTCTGGGATGGTGGTCGGCGAGCATTCTTATACATCTTCAGTCGGGCGTCGATCTGTTGCTTGTTGAAGACCTTGTTGGAGTTGGTGTATGTCTGTTCCAGCTGTAACATTGTTGCCTCGGTCGAAGAATCCGTCTGTGCACGCTCCTTTATGATCTCAACCATTCTTGGGGAGAGGCGATTGATCATGTGGAGATCCTGCCTAGGCTGGTGACCATTGTGTTGAAGAGACCTGATCTTGGAGAGGCGCCAAGCGGGCCTGATTCTCTAATGGACTTGTAAAATTGAGGCCGAACAGACACCACAACGTGTGCTTTTTTGGGAGTCTCGCGACTTTTCTGGGTCAACGCTCTTTCGGGCAATGTGAGAACCCTCTCTGCTACACGCGAAATAAACTGTATAACAAAAACAGAGCGCAAGAAAAGAAAGTGGCGTAAATAATTGGTTCTGGATCATGCACCACACTTTTCAATTCTCTAAATTTTATCCTGGCCTTGTCGTTATTTCTCCCCTCAACTTACCATGGAGACCTTTCTCAGGACTGGTCGTGTTCGAGGAACGAACTTTGATGTCGACGTTTCTGCTCCAGCCCCAGTCCTTGACAAAGTCGATCAAAGTCTCTGAGTGCGGGAAAATGTCACCCTCGTGTGGTTCCCATTCGTCGGCCAGTCTCAGCTGGTCCGTATTCAGTATTGATCCGTGAGCGTACACTTTAAGAATAGTCGGATTCAAGCAATCCTCCTGAACCTTGCACTCGGTACTAGTGGACGCGGCAGGCATACTGGTAGCGGCTGGTTTTTTGGTGGTTAGCGTCTCAGGAATGTTGACGGTGTATGGTCTGATAATAGTGGACAGGTCTCTGGTGGGGACAGCACGGCTCTTTATCACATCCTCGAATGATGGAAGATCGGACCCCGAGTCTGTGTTTGAATCCGAAAGGTTATTGTCCTCATCCATAAAGTCCCAGTCCTCGCTACCGCTCATTTCCTTGCCATTGTTTTGGTCCTTGCGATCATCGGTTCTTTGCCATTGTATAGCGGATCGTCCCATGTCACAAAGTTGGCGATTGCCACAACGAAGTAAGTCAATCTCTGTCTCCAAACCCCAGACCATTGGGGAAACGGAGGCCTGTTATTTGACAAAAGAAAAAACAGCAAATTAATAAAAAACAATAAAGTAAGAAGATGGCCAAGCATATTAATCGTACGTACCCTTTGGTGAGCAGATTGAACCGACTTGTATTTTAGGGTAGTATCCTCAGAGCACTGCCTGGTCTTTTGCACGTCTTTGCTCTATTAGATGAGCAAAATGCACAAGGTAAATATAAATAATGATCTTACAAGGACATTTTCATGTTTATGTCTTTGGCCATTATTGACACAAACGTTACAGGCCGGCTGTCATCACTGTTGGGACGTACTTCATCGTCAGCGGCTTTGCTCTTCTCTTTGCTCTCATCGTTCATCTCCTCCTTGCTCTCGCCATTCATGTCATCCTTGTCCTCGCCGTGAGTTTTGCCTCCTTTTCCCATCGTATCGTTACCGCTCGTCTCCTCCACACCATCACCTGACTTTTTTAAATAATGAAGGATTAGTTAGTATAGAACATTAAAAAAATGCAATAGCAATGCATTGTTATTAATTGCCGTTTCATTCCATTACCTTGGGTGCAGACTTGATGGTCAAGAGGGGGAAGCCTTGCGCCTATAAAACAAATACTGCCTGCATTATGAATCACATTTTTTAAAACAGTATAGCTGAAACCATGGCGCACAAGATCGCAAAAAATAATCTTGTTACCTTTTCATAGCCTATGACCCGCGCCAAATAAGCGGTTCGATAAATCGGAATGTTCTTTTCCTCCCATCCATGGCACCCGTTCTTGAAGAGAATGTCATGTTCGACTGCAAATGCGGCAATAATTCCACACGAGACCCCATCCTGTCTGGGCACCTTGATAAAGGCAAGAGGGGCGTTGTCGATTTCCTTCCAAGTAGGAAAGTATAACTTAACAAAGGCCTTGATAGCCCCGGTAGTTTCAGCATACTTTAGATGATCCAGCTTGGCGCTAGACTTATCACCAACTGACAAGGTTCGGGCAACAGCGTCGATTCGGTAAAAGATCCAATGATTGCTCCGGATGAGTGCAAAAGCATACACTCTATCTGGACGCCCCGCCTCGAAAAAAGCTGTAACCTTCTTGTCCTTCTCGATTGTTCGATTGATGTTCCATTGCCACGTCCAGTGCTGTATCGTTGATGAGGCGACGAACAAGGTGCGTTGTCCTTGTGGGCTGATACCCAATTCGCGTTGGAAATAACATGCGATTCCATCCAGGGCCTCGCCGCTCAACCACTGATTGCCGGCAAAACTCAAGATGGCCTGATAATCCAGGGGCTTGGGGAGGCTGTCTTGCAATCTATGTGTCTCCAGAAACGTTATGAGATATGTGTAGAGATCCGTGTTGATCGATTTCACGGGTCCATTGAGCCATGCAATCATCGTCGACAGCCTCTGTCGATAATAATCGGTCGCAGCTATCTCTGATAGAGTCCAAAAGTCGATGTGGGTGTTCGATCTCATTTGGAGGTAAAATCCCGATCCTGCAGTATAAAAATGGATCCAGTGTGGGGTTGTGCTCTTTTTAAGCTCTTTCGCCGCGTTTTGGATGGTGGCAACCGTGGGCTCGTCGAGAACGAAAGGAATGTTCTTGAGATGGTGAGGGGAACAAATTAATTTCCCTGACGTCGGCTCCTCAGGAACGAGCTTCCAACCAGCACGGAGTCTGCGTACTCTGGGAAAGTGGGCATCGACCAACTGTACGCCCGTCAACTCTTCGCGCCACTCGGTTCCATAGGGAATGGTGGTTGCATGCTTAGGAGGAGAAAAGGCAGGAATCTCAACGCAGAACTCCATGGACTAATCGTGGTGGACAAAAGAGTTGATATTAGTCTTTAAATTATTAACTGGAACTGGAAGAACATAACAAAACCTTGAGAATACCAACAATGCTCGCCTTCTTCACAATGATGGAGGTTGGAAGCCAAAGAAATTTAAAAGGAGAAATAACAAGAAGATGCCATGTTTTGGCCCTCGGTTGTCAGGTTTTCACCATAAGCAATTTCCAACCCTCGAAATTGAACGCAAGATGCATTCATTTCATTTCGGTTTGCCACGTGACCCGCCACCAACCAAGATTTTGCCACCAACCAACGCGACTGGAAATATTAGTTGTACTCTCTGGAATGTACGCTTACTTCTGTTGGTACCCGTGGGATCTAGGCCAGTACCTACAAAGGGCTACTTGCCTAGAACCCTTGTCAACAAGCTCTTTGCCCCTTTTCCCCCGATGCCCATCTGTCTTTGCCCTTCGCTTCTGCCATTTACATTCTCCATTCTAGATTCCATTTACATTCTCCATTCTAGATTCCATTCACATTTCAGGCCTTACCCCATCCCATTTCTTGTTCATCCCGTTCGTAGATAAATAGACCCCTTGTCCTCTTGTTCTTGTCCTCCAGTCTGCAATAACTCATCTCCCACCTGTCCCCACCTGTCCTCTCTTCCCTGCACGCTACTTCCATACTGAACCGTATTATAATAACACCATACACACTACCCATCCTGTCTGATCATTGCATAAGATGTTTGCTGGGATGCTGATTCTCTCTACCTTGATAGAAAAAAATGACAGCATATACACACCAACACCTTGTTTAGCTTGGACTGTATTGACTTGTAGAGACGGTAATAAGCGAAGGCGAAAATGTGCAAAGCGTTGACATAGTATACCTAAATAATACCGGCAAAGAAAATAAGCGAAGACGTTGAAGTTCACGGGTAGAACGGTGGAAATAATGATGGCTGCCGCTGTTTGAGATATGGCTGGCTGAAAACAAAAAAGCAAAAAAAAAAAAGGGAGGCGTTGGTTTGCATGCTTTTAACTTTTCGCTCCTTCGGCAATAATACTTCTATGTACATTGGAGCCATGACGGAAAGTACCTAGGTATTCCCTCACCATCCCTTGTCGGAGATGACATTAACACTGAATAACTTGACGATGACAACTGTATCCATTCATCACGCCCATGGTGTGTTGAAAGCATTAGAAGTCGCAATAACGCCTATGAGCAGCACCGAATTATTGTTTATCCCGTACAACATGTATCTTTTTTCATGTACCACAATTGGTTGAAAAGAAAGTGACAGTGAGGAGTAGTGGTCGTTTACGCCAATGGCACGATAGAGAGCATAATGTCGTGAGTTGTCTCACAAGTGCGCAAACGAAAAGAAACCGACGGGATGCAACAATGGTATGCGAGGCATCACAACAGCAAGTTTCAATGACTGGGACGATCTAGCCCCTTTTTTTTTTTTTTTTTTTTTTGGAACTATTAAAGTAATTTATATTCCACAAGAATAATGAATGTATCTTTACTTTGTCCTCCTTCCCTCCACCCTCGTTCTCTCGTTATTCATCATGAGCAAAGTCGATGTTCGGGCATTGACCCAGGCTATCAACTACCAGCCATCGAACACCAATACCTTTGGTCTCCAGTGGATGATGCATCTCGGTCAAGCTGCTAGCGGCCGCCTATTGTTACAGCTTCTTGAAGTTATTCCTTCGGTGAAGTCAATGGAGGAGCCCCAGATTGTTGCCCGCAACTACGGATGTCCTGCTATTCACCCACCAGCCGTTCAGAAATGGACAGAGACTGTTCCTTGCAAGGACACAGTCCGGAGGTGCATTCATTTTATGGCAGATGATGAACGTACGAGGGCCGAGGAAGATGACAAGTTGGGTCGACCGATGGAATTCGCTGATTTGGAGCCGTATTACTTTTACTATAAAGAAGCGGGGTGGTCTTTCACTCAGAGGCAGATCTGGCACCTTAGTCAAGTAAGTACTGTGTACTCGTTTGAAAATATGGCTTTGATTTATTATCTGGCTTTTTTTACCCAGCTCACCTTTTGCTTAGTTTCACATTCTAAGAGACTTTGCACTCTCAATCCAAGACATGCTGCATTGGCTGGACTCTGAAGTCGATGGTGTGGATGTTGCCTTTGCCGGATATCTCAAAAGGGCAATCCTCGACAATCCTGCTACTATAGGTCAGTCGTCCGCGTGTTTATACATCCGGTCCTTCCAGCCTAGATTCACCAATGCTATCGCACCAAGTTTTACAAGCATTTTCACTTTACGTGAGAGGGCGTGCCTGGACAAGGGCATTATGGATTGTGTTCTTGCACTCTTCACTCGTTGCTATGGTCTAGATGGTCGGATATTGTTTGCGCCTATTGATCTCACCGGGAAGAGACCCATTGCTTGGAGTACAAGAACAAGGAGACTGGCGATAATGATTTGCACATTTGTCCGAATGGATCATGAGCACTGGGGTGCGATTATCTTGGATCTGAACAGCCACATTATCTATTTCGGATCTTCATCCAATCACCCCATCACTCTGGGGCATCTCAAGCCTCTTTTGTCCTATATCAACCCGTTGTCTGCCGCTAAAGATCAGTGGACAGTTGCAATGAAGAACATCAAACCTCTTTCCACCTCTGCTCTGCCTCAACTTCCGGACCTCGGAGCCCTCGCGATCGCAATGGCGATGGAACAACGGTGCAACACTCATGCCAACTGGAGCAGACATACCTCTCTTTTCGAGTACCGACTCCGCCTGCTGCGTTTATTTACCTGTTACACCCATGTAAGTGTTTGCTCTTTTCTCTACTTTTTTTACGCACAAAAAAGCATACACACCTACACCCATCTCATCATTTCCCTTTGTCTGTTCTTCTAAAAAGATCGGGGCGGACACCATTTGGCGAGAATATTTGCTACATGAGCCGTATCTGCCTATTATGTCGCAGCATGACGATTTCATCCTTTGGTTAACCTCCCCATCTCAAGCCGACAGTAATGATGGTAGTGGGGACATTGGCCGGAACGTAGATGATGAAGGGGACAATGACTTAGTTGATGATGATGGAAATGGCAGAGTCGAGTGGGAGGAAGACAGTGAGAATGAAGGAGAATTTAACTATGGCGCTAAAGGTATATTGTCACTCTATTACGGCTTAGTGAAGAATGAAGCAACCACCAAAAAAATCAACTCGGTTTTAATTTCTCTTCTCTTGTCCTTGCTAGATGTACAAGACCGTTGGTTTATTAAGATGGTGAAACGCACTATTACGATTGGCCTGGATCTTTGTCTTACGCAGGATTCGATTATTACCCTTGTTATGAGGGACGCCTGTAACAAGCCTGATTTGGACCAGGCGCAACTCTCTACATTTGTAAAGAATTACTACAACAAAAAAAAGAAGAATTGGGCGAACCCCTGGCTTGAAGGCTAGAGTGAAGACACACAGTCCAAAGCATTTTGTTAACGATAGTAGAAATGAAGGAATGTAGCAGCTACCAGCTCCACTATTTCACCGCTACTTAACACTGGCCCTTTCTCAATTTCACTGACACTCAGCTCACTATATCTTTGAATGACAGTGTCTTTCTGTGAAATAACCTCTGCGATCAGCCCTTGATTACAACCGTGTAAATCCCATGTCCACGTTTTCCTGCATTGTTTTACGAGTACACGTTCATCTTTTCCTTCCCCCTCCCACGCAAATACGAACAAAAACAGCACACGACTCCATCAAACATATTATTTGGCAACGAGCATCCCCCTCCTTCCGCCAGCAAATGCAATCTTACCTACCTGCAGTTATCATTGGTGCGACATTCAATGGCCATCAGAGCCATTGTCGCTCCTTCAAACGCAATGGCATCATGTCTATATGACCCTTATGCGTCACCTTTTTACTGCGTGTGTATGGCAACTAGCCATCTCAGCTGCATCTTTGTAGCTCGTTTTTTAACATAACCATTAATCGAAGGAGAAAATACACAAGCGGCTTCATTTTTTATTGCCGTGTCTGTTCATTCATCCCCTTCGTTTCCTCTTTGCCTTGACTGTGTTGCTTGGTGCATATTATTTTTCCTTGTCCGCGCCTCGAATGTCTCGCGTGCTGTATGTTGTTGTCTTACTCTTGCCCTCACTGTCTTGCTTGGTGCATTTATTTTTCGCTCTGTGTGAGCCCTTCGATCAAATCCACCATACAACGCCTTTTGGAGGAAATGCCCACAAGTTCGTTATTCAAAGGTCGGAATACTTCTACCAGAGCTTGTCTTTTGAATAGTCAAGTCCTGCCTAATAGACTCGGCACACCGCATTAAACGCAGAGAACAATCCCCCTAATTTATCCTGCTTTCCCAAACGACCTCTTCCTGTTTTTCATCTTTCCTTACGTAAATGATACCTATGTTTAGAAAGCCCTTGCCACGTTTTCCCCCAAGACCGCCAGGCCCCAGGTTGCCCCGGTTACGCAGGAATAGGTTTTGTCCTACTTCCATTGAACGCGTAATGTGATTTCAGATGTCACATCACGTGACTTACGCCACCAACTGAGCCACCACCCAAGATCCAAGCCCACCCATGTTCCAAGCCCCGTCTAACATCCCAAGCCCCGTCCAACATCCAAGCCCATCCAATGTCCAAGCACTGCCTTGGTTTCTTCAGTTCATCTGGCCCTTAGCATGAATAGTGTTTCTTAAGAACATAGTGCATTCGCATTTGCATTCGCATTCGCATCATGTAAAATCAATGGAAACCCCTTTATTTGCATTCGCATTTGAGAAACACTAAGCATGAACATACCCCTTATTCCCTTATCTTATTCCCCAGTCTGCAATAACTCGCTTCCATCTGTCCCCTGCCTTTCTTCTGCACACTCTTCTTTTTATTCCATCCTTTTCCTTCAGAATAAACATAACAAATACAATACACATTCATTCGTGTTCTGTCTAATCATTGCAGCCCTCTGGATTGTCTTTTATGGAAAGGATAAGA